TAGCCTTGGGTATAAGCTTTCGTGTGCACACACACTTCTTCAGATATTTCTTCCATGAGTGCACGCGGAAGTTTATACCTAGAATTAAACTTTGTTGGTCTTAAAGGTGCCCCACTGGACTCAAACTTTGCTCTACTGCTTCAGACCAACACGGCTACCCACCTGGATCTGTGCATCTGATTGGTGGGTATTTTCACGATACATTACAATACATAACTATTAGTCCTAAAATCCTCCCCCCACTCTTATGTATTAATTTATTTCTATGGAAGGGCCTTCAAAGTCTTTATTGTTGTTGTTTTAAAGTCCACCTTACCAATTCAGGTTCCTATACAATTTCAAAAGTTAGCATTATTATTATTAATTATATAACAACAACAACAACAACAACAACAACAACAACAACAACAACAACAATAATAATAATAATAATAATAATAATAATAATAATAATAATTTACAAATAATTACAATTGGTTAAGAGGGGTGGACTCCAAGTTGGGAGAACCGGATTTGTTTCCCAGTACTACACATGCAGCTGCTGGGTGACCTTGGGCAAGCCACAGTTCTCTCAGAGCTGTTCTCTAAAGAGCAGTTTTCTCGGAGCTCTCTCAGCCCTACCTACCTTACAGGGTGTCTGTTGTGGGGAGAGGAAGAGAAGGAGATTGTAAGCCACCCTGAGACACAGAGAGAAGGGTGGGGTATTACTACTACTACAGCAACAACAACAAGAAGAAGAACTACTACTACTACTACTACTACCTCATCCTCCTCCCCTCTCCCAGGATAACAGAGGGGTGATGCTGAGGCAGACAATGATTGTAAGCCGCTCCAAGACTCCCTCAGGTAGTGAACTGCGGGGTATAAAACCAACTCTTCGGCCCCGGTCACATGGGAGGTTTTGCCCCACAAGAGGGACGGATCGGGAGCGCAGCAAACGGGCGCGATCACACCGCAAAATCTGGGAAGTGGTGCGCACCCGTCCCTGATCCGTCCCTTCAGCCCGAAAACATGCATTAAAAAAAAAAACCCTAGGAAAGAGTACTACCAACCTGAAATGCCGCAGCAAGCACGGCCGTGGGATCACTGGTGCACCCGTCTTCAGCAGCATTCGAGGCTCCCAGCTGAACTGCGCATGCGCACACATGTGCAGCCAGCTGCCTCGCTCTCCCTTCCGTGGCTTCCCCCCTGGCATCTGATCGTGCTGGGGAGCAACTGCGTGGCGGCTCAGGGGATCTGCCTGATCCCCCCGCCACGCGTCTCTTTTGGTGTGGCTCTAAAAAAACGCACTTTGGCCGCGCCAATTTCCCCCTTATCTGGAAAGCTTCTCTCTCTCTTCTTACCTCTGTCCTATTTTCATACCATCCCTACTGACAGCTGTCTGCGTTAGCAAGACTTCCAGGTCAGGATATCCATCATGGGTGGCTGTCAAATGAACTGCTGTAAGAGAAAAAAATAGAGGAATTAGATAAAGCTGGGAAACCCCCTCCTGTGCCTAAGGTCACACCACGGAAGGCTGAACCTGGCTGCAGACAGAGTAGTCGAACTGGTAATAGAGGGTGAACACAGCCAACTTGTTTTCCTTAGTGTAATGTGTGAATGACTGTAGAGTTGTGTGTGATTAATTGAATTGGACTGCAAGAAGATCAAATCAGTCAATCCTAAGAGAAATCAACCCTGACTGTTCCCTGGAAGGCCAGATAATGAAAAGGAAGCTCAAATACTTTGGCCACCCAATGAGAAGGGAGCACTCACTGGAGAAGACCCTGATGCTGGGAAAGATTGAAGGCGGAAGACAGGAGGGCCTGGTGGGATCTGGTCCATGGGGTCGTGAAGAGTCGGACTCGACTGAGCGACTGAACAACAACAAATATAAATTGAAGGGGGAGGGAAGGCCACATGGCGTAACCTGTTCTCATCAGATTAAATTAGATGACTAACCCAAAATCCTCTTATGAGCCTCAGATCTATGGTTGCCAACTTTGGGTTAGGAAATTCAAAGATTGGGGGGGGCAGAACTTGGGGAAGGCAAGGTTTGGGGAGACCGCTTGGCAGGGTATAAGGCCGTAGAGTCCACCTTCCAAAGCAGCAGTTTTCTCCAGTGGAACTGATCTCTCTCATCTGGAGATCAGTTGTAATTCCAAAAGATCTCCAGGTCCCACCTGGAGGTTGGTAACCACACTCACAGAAGAGTCGGAATTTGAACTTCCAGCTTCCAAGTCCCAGGGTGACATGCAAACCACAATGCCATGCAGTCCATGTCCTTTAAGTCCTTCGGCAAGTTGCTCTCTCTGGGGCACAGCCTTCCATTCAACAGACATAAAAGCCTACCTTGCAGGACTGCTGTGAAATTTATAACAACTTTGAACTTAGGTGTCTACTAAGCATTATAATAGTATGGCATACTAGTGGCAAAGCCGGTTTTAGACGCAATACAACGACCTCTAGAAAGATGCCGGCCTTGCGGTCCCCGCCAAATGGCAGCCTGTCTCTGCCCGCCACCAATGCAACGGGCTTGGAGGGGGGCGCGGTGTCAGGTGAGCATAGGGCTGGCTGAGGGAGCG